CTCTATTCACACTTAAACATCATATGCTTGTGTGAATAGCTACTGAAAGGGTATATGGCATGACGAAGCTTTACGACTATTCCATTCTTAGCGACGGTGATCGGCAACGAGAAGGTGTGGGCCACTTAGCATAATATATAGTTTCAATGTACTATAGCTATATCTAAAAAAAAGTATCCTATTTGAAACATTATTTATTATAAGTCATGTTTTGGAACTTGCTAAATCATTTTTGAGCAACGAAGTTACTAGGGATCCCTAGCATAGCCTTTCCCGCAGGAACACCCACAATAGATCCAGTACGCTTGACAAGATCTCCTTCTTTAACAACAAAATCACTACCAAAGACAACAATCCCTACATTCTCATTCTTAAGATTCAAGGTTATTCTGTTCACACCGCTGGCAAATTCAACCATTTCCCTAGCTTGAATCTTGTTAAATCCATAAACACGTGCAATTCCATCTCCAAATAAGACATGAGTCTAAAGGTTTCAAGTTGAGCAGGACTAAGACGGAATATCTGGAGTGTAAGTTCAGCGACGTAACATGGAAAGTGGACGTGGAAGTTAGGCTTGATTCACAAGTCATCTCCAAGAGAGAAAGTTTTAAGTACCTAGGGTCAATTATTCAGGGGGATAGGGAGATCGACGAGGATGTCACGCACTGTATTAGGGTGAGGTGGATAAAATTGAGGTTAGCGTCTGGACTCCTGTGTGATAAGAACGTATCACCAAAACTTAAATGTAAGTTCTATAGAGCGGTGGTTAGACCAGCTATGTTGTATGGGCCTGAGTGTTGGCCAATCATGATTTCACATATCCAGAAGATGAAAGTAGCAAAAATGAAGATATGGAGATGGATGTGCGGGCACACTAGGCTGGATAAGATTAGGAATGAAGATATTCATGAGACGGTGGGCGTTTCTCCCATGGACGGCAAGATGAGGGAAGCGAGGCTTGGCTCCCATGGACGACAAGATGCGGGAAGCGAGGCTTAGATGGTTCGGTCACGTGCGGAGGAGAAGCCTAGATGCCCCGGTTAGAAGGTGTGGGAAGATGTAGAGGGCGACCTAAGAAGTATTGGGGCGAGGCGATCAGGCATGACATGGTGCGACTTCAGATTTCCGAGGACATGGCTCTTGATAGGAAGGTGTGGAGGTCGAGCATTAGGGTTGTAGATTAGTGGGTAGTCGAGCCCGTTTTTCTTCTTTATACCGGCTAGTGTGATAGTGTTTTGTCTAGGACTGCTAGCAGCTTATGTTTTGTTATTGTGCTTTTGCCCTTCCATTTATTTGATGTCTCTTACGTTGCAGATATTTTTTTTCCTGGTTTCTGCTGTTGTTACGTTCTATTGTCTATTTTCGTTTCCTTGAGCCGAGGGTCTTCCGGAAACAACCTCTCCACTCCTCCGGGATGTTATTGCTGCAAATTTAATTAGGAATATTTTCTTGGGATTTACTTGTGAATTTCTTACCTTGAAAATTACCTAAAGATTTGCTTGATGTGAATTTAGTTAGAATTTTTTTCTTGGGATTTTACTTATTTGGTGGGATTATATTAATATAATTTTTGCTAGAAATTTATTCTTCGTAATATAGCTTGGGATTTACCTAGAAATTTTCTTACATAACATATTAACTAGAGATTATTTGTGTGGTTTTAAACGAAAATTGTTTCATGAGAATTTACTTGAGTATTTCATTATACGGTTATGATTGGGGATTTGTTCTTAGGATTTAGATAGAAATTTTATTGTTGTTGTTTTAATTGGATAAATAATATTTAAGAATTTACCTGAGTATTTTATAACTACATATTTAAGTTTAAAATTCTTTAAATACTTTTAAAAATATTATTTGAATTTCTAAGAAGATGTTATTTTTTAATTTAAAATTATATTTTTCTGCAAGTTACAAGAACTTGATATAAAAAAATTCTTTAAATACTTTAAAATACTATTTGAATTTCTAGGAAGATGTTACTTTTTAATTTAAAAATTATATTTTTCTGAAAGTTACAAAAACTTGATATGCAAAAAATATCCATAGGAATTATTTTATCTATTATATTTTGGCGATTTATGTGTGGGTAAATGTAAAATTGTTGATCCTATATAAAACTTAATGATGTATATATGTTTGGATTGGACATTATAAGTCATTAAGCATAACATAGTCGGTTATTATTTTTTTCAGCAAATTCAATAACAAAATAATTATCACAAAGAAAATTATTTTCAGAATAAAAAATTTAATATGGTTGATATAAAGAATATAATAAAGCTAAGATACGATTACATTTGACAAATTTCAACTAATATCATCAAAAAATGTACTAAATGTAACTAAGTGATTGATACTTAATTAAGTTTAATTTCTAAGCAAATAAAGATTATCTTACATTTATAAAAATGTAACTAAATTTTATTAATGTACTTTTCATCTTATGTATGTCTTTTTTTCACATGTATTTGATTAGATAAAATTCAATTATAGTATGTATAAAATGATATAGCTTGAGATTGTTAGTGTTGAAACTTAATATCAAATAATTCTACTTTCTAATATTATCTCTTGATTAGATCCTGCCATTGTTAAAAAAAACTTAAACATGTGTATTTTGTTAGGATTAGTGAAATAATTCTTACTAATTATCTTGTACAATGCATTTAATTCTTGTTAATTAATATAATTTTTATATAGAAAAAGAAATTAATATGTTATTCGAGAAATATAAATTAAATTTGCTATTACTTGGGGAAGAGTGTTTCATTTTGATTTATGGAATCCTTAAATAATGCACCCTTTTATAAAATAAAATAAAAATAGTTAAGCTTTAGTGAGTAAGTAGTATTACATGGGAAGTGGCAGTTGGGACATTCTTGTCCCACATCATCCAAGAGTTGTAAACATTTGCACTTTATAACCTAAGCATATTGGAATGGCCGTGCAAGTGAGACTTCAGAAATTCGTGAACACCCAAGAGATTGGTTACATATATATGTAGGAAAATTAGTAATTAGTAGCTAACTAATAATTATTAACACTTATTAGTGATGAGTACAAATTATATGATTGATGCTATAGTATCTTGCTAGGTGGGGAGGTCTATGTAGTTACATAAGAAAAAAGATAATATAGCAATTTTAATTTTTCGTCTAAAAATTGCACTTGGAAATTTTCATGGGATGTACTTGCAGCTATTTCCCTATCAAACTCGGCAAGAAAACTCCTATGTTTCATTAACTTTTACCAAAAATTTCATGCAAATATCTAAATAATTTTATGAAAAAATTCACAGGTAATTTACATGCGAATTTATAACCCCAAGTAATTTATATGCGGATTCAAAATTCCCAAGTAGGGGATTTTTAAAATTCGCAGGTAACAATTACCTACAAAGGTTTTTTCATCGGATTTTTTTGGAAGGAAAATCCGAAGAAAATTTAGTTTCATGCGGATTTTCTTATATAATCCCCAACAAATTTTTCATGTAATACGTGATTTTCTCGTAGTGTCTTTCATACACAAAATTATTTCTTAGTCATGATTATTTTTATATTTTTTTTAAAGTTCAATTGGTAAAATTAAATTATTTAGTTTGATAAGTATTCTATCCGGTCCACAATAAGTGATCAATTTGCTTTTTTATTTTGGTCCAAAATAAGTGTCCAATTATATAATCAAGAAAAAATTCAAATTTTTTTTTCAAAATTATTCTTATGTACATATCCCTAAAAAGTTTTCTTACTCCTCACATTAAATATTTAATTAAGGATAGTTTAGTCATACTAGGTATTTTTGCATAAAATTTAGTATTTTCTTAATGAACGTGCCAAAAGTAAATTGGTCACTTATTGTGGACCGGAGGGAGTAGTACTTTAACATGAAAAGCCTTAAAAAGACTAATTAAGGTCACTAACTCAAAAAAAAAAAAAAAAAAAAAAAAACTCAAAATCCAAAAAACGAAAAGCTATAAAATTGCTCTTCGGAGTTTGGCCTAAAAGCCAATGTCAGAAACCCAACCAAACAGCTCAGTTCCGATTCACCTTTGACTCTCTCTTTGTCCCTTTTCTTCTCCTCCATACATATATTTGCAAAAAAGTCAGCTCTTCCATTCCATTCCCCTTTTCCTTATTTCTCACTCTCAAAACTTCTCTATTTTTTCTAACACCCAAATTTTATACGAACTCCCGCTTACTTTTTTATATACATAGTGTGTGTGTGTGTGTTTGTTCTGGATCTTAGTGGAATTTGATTTACGCAAACAAGACGGCACTTGATACTGCGCGCGGCGTGACGGGGGGCGGCGGTGATCTGCTTCTCGGTAGACGGTAAGCCGGTCCCTTGTTCTTCTTTTTGTTAAATATAGAGCAAATAATTAATATTGTTGTCTTTCTGTAGCCACTAATTAATGCCTTGCAAAAGTTTCTTTCTTCTCTTCTTCTCTCTCCATTTATTAGCACTATTCGTGCACTGTTTTAAATGCACGTAGCCTTCCTACAGTGTGTAAATCAGTATATAGCTGTTTTTTTTTTTTTTTTGTGGAAATATATATTTACACTAATTGTCACTAGAAAAGTGGTGAATGCAAAAAAAATTTAACCGAATTTGGTACATGCACTAAAGTCTAAACCATACTATAATTCACTAGTTAAATAATAAAGAAACATAAAATTACATACTGATTAACAAATAAATTTATATGCTATATGTACAAGCACAGTACACATGTATATGTACAGAGTGCACAGATGACAAGTGAATATTAATTGCATTAAGAGAGAGAGAAAGAGATTTTTTACCATTTTAGGTTTGTTGATTTAATACTGCTATCTTCCTCCTTTTCCTTTTAGCTCTTCTTACTTAAAAATTACACTCTTTTCTTTCACATTCATTTTGTTTCTTAATTGCCTATATTGATTGAATTTAAATGGCATGACTCTTTGCCATTTCATCAGGCCAAGATTTCATTACTTTGGTATATCTCTCTCTCTCTCTCTCTAAATATTTGTAAATTTATTCTCTCTATTAATGTGTATCTATATGTCTGTATTGATGCAGAAGGGGGTCTCAGATTTTGGAATTTATCTGTTAATTTAGCTTGTTTTTGCAGTTAGTTTTCCATTGATTGCATTTTTTTTAGTGTTATCTTGTTTTTTTCTCTTTGCTCTTCATTTCTGAAATTTAAAGCTGTATTTAGTGTTCTAAGGTTGTTTAGCCTTTCAGATTTAAATATCAGTAGAAAATACAATGAATTTCTAGAATTTTTATTTTTTTCATTTTGAATAGTATTAGCCTGAAATAAGTTTATATGAAATTATTAGTGAGAATTCATATAGCTGGCCGTAACTTATTTGGGATTAAAGGTGTTTTGATACTTTGTTATGAAACCCAAACCCAAATATTATCATATGATTAAAGAATTTAAAATATAAAAATTTGCCCTTTTATTTATGGTTTTATGAGATGGTGAATTTTATTGGGATCTGAGAAGAACCTGCCAGAATGTATAACTCTGGAGAATGCCTTTTTCATTATTTTTTTAATCTTTTAGTTATCCTTTTGAGAGGGTGCATTATAATATTAATAAGGGATTAGATCTAGTAAGAAGTGAGTGGTAATTTATTTGTAGATAGCTAAAGGACAAAACAAATGGTGGGGATTGGTCATTGACTTAGTAGACGGGCTTGTATTTTAGCCGTTTAAGCAATGTACAAAAGTTTCAAAGTTGAAATGACCAGTTCTTGTCCTTTTCTTTATCTACTATGGACAAAGTTCAGCTGCCATGTGGTTAGGCAATTTATTTAACATAAAAAGTGACTATTTGTACAGGAGGTAAGGCAACTTGCTTTGTTTTTGTAATTTTCTTGCATGTTTGATTGAGATCATTATGTACCTTCGGCATTTATTTATTTATTTTTTAAATTTTAAGTTTGTGTGAATCCTGTGCAACAGAAAATCAGCTGGTTGTTCTTCTGTAAATGAAGATTTTTCTGATGTGTTACTGACAGTAGTCCGCGTTGCTTAATCATTTGGTCATGGCGCGTTAAATTATTCCTATTGAACTCATGTTAGATGATCTGAACTATTTCCACTGTTCTCTCATGTTTATCATGCAAAAGCCACTAGATCTATCTCCAGTGATATCTGAAACTGGTTCACTGTCATTCTGATTCTTTTTTTTTTTTTTGGGGGGGGGGGGGGTGGGGGTTTCGCGTTGTATATGGTCAGAGACTTGAATGTTAAGTGTAAGGATAGGTGTATGATGTAGTAATAATCTAGCTTTCAGAACTCCTAATTTGCTTAATAGACAAATTAAAGACTATAGAGGGTTCGTATATCAGTCCGTACTTAGTTTGGGATTGAGGCAGCGTTAGATTGTTTGCATTCTTGGCCACTGTTCTCGTTATTACTACTAGATGGTTTGGCCTGTTATGCTACGTTGTTTCCGGCTACTTTTTTTGGGTCGAATATTTTGCTAAAATTATCCTTGTCAAGGAATTTGCAAGTATTCACAGCCAATTCCTCCTAAACATATTTTGGAAAGTCTGATGACATAGATTCCTGAGTCATATATATCTACCTCAGATGTTGATGTTTGCTTCACTGCTTGTGAGAATTCTCCAGACTCGTCCAACTGATGTAATTTATGAATTTTCTGCTGCTGCTCAGAATGCATCTTTCATAGGTCTTAAGCTCGCCGATGGCTTTTTTTTTTCTACTTTTAATACAATAAGGAGTGAATTAATCTGATACATCCTGTTTCTGGTTATCTTCGCCTTACTGCCCATTGAATTTGTTCAAATACTTGTGTATTTGTGGGATTCTTTACGTCTTAATGTTATATTGTCAGATTGCACCTAAACAGGACTCAATAGAACGTATTATCTCTCAACTTGCTTCTTGCATTGAGAAGTTAAATCGCCTGTGGACATTGATCGTCTGTTTGTATTCCATGTATTTGAATCACTTGAATGCGACGACAGTGTCTTAACACACTGAAGAGAAGGCCACCATGAAGGAAAATCTGGACGAGATATTAAATCACTCAAATGGTTACAATGAGTCTAAGTCTTTAGTCTTTCCAACAAAAGATCTGCTTGATTCCAATGGTTATCACGGCGGTAAAGACTCTTTGGAAAGTGAAACAAAAGAGAGGAACGAATTCTGGAAACATCAGGAACTTAATGGCTCTGTATTTTTTGAAGATATTTCAAGAAGTAACAAACACGAAACTACTTGCAAGAGAAATGGAAATCCTTTTGCATGTGACACAGAAGATAGAGATCACACCTGGAGTATTCCAGAATTTGAGGGCTCGATGATTGTTGACGTTGATGATAAAGAAAATGGAGCCATAGTCTCTAATGCACCATTTACCTCTGTTTCAGAGTTGTTTGGTATAGACACTCATTTATATACCGATAAGGGTGTCGTGGAATGCAAATTGCCTGAATCGACAATTTGCTACAAAGAAAGTAACTATAACATTATGAAAGACATATGCATAGATGAGGGATGCATAGATGAGGGTGTACCTCTAGTGGATAAAATTGTAACTGAAAGCACGAAAGATGATCAGCCCAACTCGTCTGTTTCTCTAGCTGCTGACGAACACCGCCCCAGCTATACAAGGGGAAATATTGACAGTGAATTGCTCTCAACAGGTGAGTATAAAGCTTCATCAGTTGAAGATACCGACAAAATTGCTTTGGCTCATCATACAACTACAGAAGATGAGGACACTCAGTCGCTTGTTCCAAGCGGTTTAAACCCCTCCTCAGAAGATAATATCAGCAAAGGCGCTGATAAGGATTCTTGTCTAGAGGATGTGATGAAGATTTTTGGATCAAAATGTACCACATTGGCAAAAGCCATTAACACATCAGAAAAAGAATCCGGCATCCAGAATTCTAAAGAATCTAACTCTGATGCTGATCAATCAGCACAGCAGCCTGATCAGGTTTGTTTATGTTATTTTTACAAAGTCGCCTATATTTAGATGCCATGTAGTTGATAAGTCTATGTGCATGGTTTTTGACACATTTCTGTGGTCAAACTTGATTATCCGTTCCTTGAACTGCAGATGCCTTCTGGCGTAGCAACTGTCAACAGCCAAAATGCAGTCTCGGCACCTGATGAAACAAACAACACTGGGCCATGTAGCAACTTCTTTTCCAATAGCAAGTCGGAAGCTGGAGCTATTACTTGTGACCAAAGCTCTACTGAGTCAACTTTAAGTAGCAGTGTGGAAAATATCGTCAAAAACTTGCCTGAAAAATCCTTTAAATTAGAGGCCATCTCCAGTCACAAGGATGGGAGTTCTGATAGCATTTCAGCTGGTAGTCAAGTTCATTTTACCAATAGTGTGGACAGGAGCGATAGCAGTGTTCATGGACAATCTCTTGACCCCAAAAATATGGCTAATCTCGAGGATAAAACCTCTGATAATGTCCCCCTTGGTACGCATGGTCATTTTGCAGACGGAGAAGCAAGTTTTTCTGCAGCAGGACCTGCATCTGGTTTGATCAGTTACTCAGGACTTATATCACATTCAGGCAGTGTCTCTCTTCGGTCAGACAGCAGTACAACCAGTGCTAGATCCTTTGCCTTCCCAGTGTAATCTTCTGCTACGTCTTATGCTAAAATATTTTTTTCCCATTATCTTCCAGTTGCTGTGAGTATGTGATTAACATTTTACTTGTGTTGGTATTTGCAGCTTACAGAATGAATGGAACAGTAGTCCAGTAAGAATGGCAAAGGCAGAAAGAAGGCGGAAACAGAGGGGTTGGAGGCAGAGCCTTCTCTGTTGTAGATTCTAAGTCCTTTTATTTCTTTTAATAGGGTTGTTAGTTCAGAACTATACATCACTTATAATCCGAAATCATGATCCATTGAGTATTTGTAATTATAAATGTTGATATTCTCTTAGGAATGATATGTTAGTGGTGGTAGGTTTAGATGGCTCTTTGAGTTTGTTTTCTTAAAGAGTGGAGGCTGTGAAATATAAAAACTCACATTTTTGTTTTCCTTACTTTATATGATCCTTCTATAGTATAATCATTTAGCAGTGAAATTCATATTACCTTAAACTTGCTTACTGTTATGCTCCTTTGCAAGTCTATTCAAGGATGTGTAATGAAGTTTTCTCCATTCTTAACCAGGTCTCGAGTGTGAGTCTTGAGAATAGAGAATCTCTTTATAAGGAGATCATTACCCCCTTAGTGGGCCTATCCGGTGTGAATTCGGATAAGCGGGACTAGGAACATCTGTTATTTAAAACTCAATTGTGTATAGCAAACATGAGTTTGGTAACTATCCAACCTGTCGAACTCAGGGGCGGATCTATGTTGTAAGGAGGGGGTGGTACGCCACCCGCAAGCTTCAACCAAGATTGTGCTTAAATCTGTATATACAATCTATAAATACAAAAGGTGGCACCCAAAATAATGATGTGGTGCAAGGTGCCATTGGCAAAGGGCGAGGAATACCTCCCAAACAATGGGAGCTCGAACCCAACCTGCAACAAGTTTTTTGCTGTGATTTTGCTCTTTTTGGCTTGCTGCAAATACATGTTTTTACATGTATTTTGCTCTTTTGACGTATTGCAAATACCGATCTTTACATGTATATTGCAACTACATTTTTTTCCCTGGAATTCCTCTTGACATGCTTTTTTTGGTTTTCCACCCGGTGTCCGGTACCCGCATTGAAACCCGACTATATCCGGATTCGCGCCGCGTAGGGCCCCTTTTGGGGGGAAGCGCTCCCTACCAAGGATTTTTCCATACCCAGGGCTAATCCTAGTTGACTGTTTTTTTGTTTAACTAATTCTTGACGTTTTCTCTCTACTTTAAGTACTAGCTAGTTTCAATAAGAGCTAAATTTAAAAAAATCATATAAATATTAAATAATATGTTCAAAATAGTAAAATAAAAATAGAAAAAATGTTTAAATTTTGAAAAAATGATGAGTGTGGATCATATTAGTCTTTTAAATTTGCAGGTCTTTCACCGAAGTCCAAAATGGATCAAATCGACCAAATATTTACCCTATTTAGACCACGTACACGACTACTTTCAGAGTAGTGTGGCACCCGGAACCTCCAAATCGTGGATCCGCCTCTAGTCGAACTACACCGATAACATAATAATCCTTTACAAGGTAGTGCATATAACTTAAATTCATTTAATTAGGTCCACCCATGCTAGGACCGGAAGGATAAGACTTTGTGGGCCTACCTTAACTGTTATAAATTCCAAACAGAATGACACTTTCATGTTAAGTTTCACCATAAGCCACTGTACCATAACATGGAAATCATCATCCCACTTTTCATTTGTATCTCATTCATGTTATCTCCATTCTTTGCTGCTCAACAGTTAGTTAATTCATCATCTTCTGTCTCTCTTATTGTTTGTGTTTCTCCTTTTAATTTTGTTGTTTCCTTCTTTCCTTAATTATATTTCATGTGGCCTCTATTACTCGCAATTTTAACTGATCATCATGTGCAAATGACTCATCTTTTAACTTCTCGGATGCTTTAGATTTCAGCCCAATTTCTTTATACTTCTTTATTTTTACATTTTAATTTTTTTACCAAAATAATTACATGAACTATGATCATTTCAATCCAGAATAAACAACAATAATATACCTAGTATAATCCCACATAGTAGGTTTTGGGGAGGGTAGTGTGTATGCAAACTTTACTCCTACCTTGTGGAGGTAGAAATGTTGTTTCCAATAGACCCTAGGCTTAGGAAAGCATAAGCACCACAATAATAAAAAGAAAAAGGCAGGACAACACCAAAAACCATGAAAAAGCAGCGTAAATAACAACAAGATAGTAAAATGATCGAAATGCAAAAAAACAACACGTAGTTTGTCTAATTTGTATATAACTCTTACAATACAACGTAGTTTGTGAAGTACCTTTAACTAACTAAAGAAGCTTCCCATTGATACAGGATACATGTTTTCATGTATCGTTAAATTAATAGAGATTTTATTAATTAAAATTCAAATAATATTATTGAGAACGATAGGATAAAATTTAAAATAAAAAAATATTTCGCGAGTAATAAAACATATATATCTTCTCTTATATTACAAAAAGAGAGAGAGCAAATAAAGATATTAAACAAAGTAATATGCTAATAAAAATTTTTATTAACAATGTAAAAATACTAAACAAAAAAGTTATTCAATGACTATATAAGTCCCTTTAATTTAATAGATATTTTATATTGGTTATATTGACAAAAAAATTACAATTGAGATTTATTAAACCAATACGATCTAATATGTTCAAACAAACTCAATGACAATTTAATTTAATTAATATTTTTTAATATTGGCCGCGCGGCTACTAGTTATGTATTAAAAACTTAAGTACACAGTTTAAATTTTATGTTGGTAATCCCCTGACGCCTTCCTCAGAAAATATTGGCTGGTAATTCGTTGGTACTCTGTTGCTAATTTACCAACATATTCTATCAGTTGGCAAAAGATTATATCAGTTCTTTTTCTAAAGGTTTATCAATATTTAGTTCTCACGAGTAGGAGCGGCAAACGGGCGGGTCGGATATGGTTTGGGTCGAAAACGGATAATGAAAAAACGGATAAATTATCCGACCCAATCCATATTTAATACGGATAAAAAATGGGTTAACCGGCGGATAATATGGGTAACCATATTATCCATGACTTCTTGCATATGATCACTTTTAGGAGAATTCTTAGTCTCCCTAATTTGAGGAACATTTTTAAAAAGTTCATTATCCAACCCATCTTTTAGTAGGTAATATGAGTGGTTAACTGTTTTCTTTTAGCCATTTTACCACCCCTACTCACGAGAGATCTCGTGTCTAATTGACTAGTTTGCGCACAACTTGTACTTAAAAATAATTTTTTAAGTACCTTTAACTAACTAACGAAGCTTCCATTGTTACACTGATGTTCATATATCATCTATTTCTAACTTTTAGCGTCATATAATATTATATAAAAGGTTAAGCAGTTGAAGTTGTTTACTTTATGTATCTTTTCTACTAAACAAGCTAAATACTCATTTAAATAGTTAGATAACGTGAGACATGTCTAAATATGTACAAATACGGAATTCGAAATTCTGAGCTTGCTTTCGTGTGATACTCCGATGATATGAGTTACGGGTTCAACCAAACTAGCAGCTTTGGCTCAAACCCTCTACATGTATTTAGAAATCTACTAAATATGTACAAATATTAAATTTCGAAACCAATAACTCAAATGGTTTGCGCAACTAGGTTTGGACGAAAGACATACTCAAGAATCAAGATCCCAAAAATGAGAACATTTCCTTGTTTAGATCTATTGACTTGAAGATTGCAGAAAACATGGAAAACTAGTCATATTGGTATGGTTGGTGAAGTCCAAAAAGAGATCTACAGTATAACATAAATAACTGCATACTCTTCTACATATCGATTATTAACCTCTGACAAATCAAAATATCGTGAGGTTAAAGCAGGCGTAAAATGATATCAACCCGGAAAAATAAGGAAAAAGAAAAGTCAGAAAAAAATGTTTAAAATGAAAAAGGAAGAGAAGATATCAATAGGACGCATTGCTATAAACATGACTCACGGATGATAAAAACGAATGGAATATACATATCGACTTTCTTTTGAACCACAAGATGACATAAAAAACTACGTTGATTTAGCTGGATATGACCATGCTATTATCACATCTATATCTTCAGCCTCTTTTGAGCTTGGTCCAAAGCTTCATCATTGTTTGCCTCCCGGAAATGATCCATATGTTGATTACCAGAGGGTGGAGGATTCTCGTTATCCTAGAGTTAAATGCAAATGAATTGGTAAATGTACAGTGTGGAGTAGGTGGATAGCCAAAGAATTAATCTAAGATGCTCATGCGCCTCAAGGAATATGCTAGGTGAGTGACTGAACAATATCATGGTTCATGGATGCAGTGCGCTATCTCAAACATAATTTGCTTCTCATTTCAGAAAAGTCGGAATATTTATACCTTCGCTATTGATGGTCCTGAAGTCATCCCTCTGTCTGCCCGCTTCCCAAAATTAATTTGCACAGAGATAGTGGCCTGAGAAAGATCAAGACCGGTATTCTCCAATGCTTGTGTCAATGAATTTAGTAACCTGATTAAACCAAATCAATGACCAGTGATCAATAAAAATATCATGTTGACATCAACAAACGAGTTACCCAAAGATGTCGTAATAAAGACATCCAACTTGACAAGATTACCAAGACACGCTAATCTGGAGATATCACAAAAAAAGTCTCATAAGAACGTCGGATTTAGCATAAGCAGCCATTGATAATAATATTCTGACTACACCTTTTACATGCATATGAAATTTAAAATGCCAAAAAATATATGTCGTGAATGAGGTTAATAAAAATATTTACTGCTTACTTGAGACTTTGTTTTCCACTGCCGCTTTACTGGGTTCATTTTCTCAACAAAAAAGATGAGAATGAACCATACTTTTGGCAATACACTAAATTCAAGATATGCCATAGTTTGAACATCTAACGCCATGAAACACAAAAAGAAAGGGGAGACAAAACTTATTGAATTGGTTGAAGTTAACATGCAGCATGGAACGCATATGCTCACAACTGAAGAGGAACAACATTATGATGAAGATAAGGTCCAAATACTCAAATAATTGGCCCCCAGGATCTAATAACTTGCTTGCTGGTTTGTGCTTTGCCAGATAAAGTACTAATATTTACAAGTTTGTAAAAATCCCAGATGAGTGATGAGAATTGGACAAACTTAATATATGAAAAGACATCCAGAAAAAACTGAAGATATTGACATGCTCGTCATCCAAGAGCATGCTACAAGGGAATGCTATCCAGAAAAACAGCATGTGCCACATTAAAGAACAAGAAACAAAGATTACTAACAATGGAAGAGAGTCAAAAGTAAGCAAATAAGATATGGAGAGACCACATTTTGATTGAGTCTGTAAAGTCCCAACTTTAAAAAACTAAGATAAT